AAATATGCAAATCACCATTACATTCGTTATATAAGAAGGGCCCGAGGAAGCCGAAGAAGTGATGGGCAAAGGATGTAGACCACGACGAATAATGGCACACACGATCACGGCGTCGAAAATTAACTATCCGAGATCGATCGTAAGATGTCTGCGAATGTACCCTCAGGATGGTGTACAGAACAAATAGTTGGCGTACGGATAGAACTTGCCAATCTCGGAAAAGTTCTCGAGTTGGAAAAAGGAATGGTCGGAATGACGCCACTTTCAAAACCGCTCGTTGAGCCACTTCCAGTTTCATAAGAGTCGTTTTTGCTACACCACCCCAGGATGAAATGCAGTAAAGAAGAATGGTTTGACACGTAGCAAAGTATACCATCCTAAGAACATCAAAATCGGCTATATGACGTAAAGTTTTGAAAACTACTATTAACTTTCGAACACGGTTAGAGAGAGAATTAATATGATTTTTAAAATTAATATGTTGGTCAATATTTATACCCAAATATTTGAACTTTTGGACGGATTGCAGAGCGGGGCACCGGCATCCACCACGATTACAACTAACAGGAGAGTCATGAGCAATGAGTCTGTGGCCAATAGTAGGCAGCGAATTAGAGCGCATTCCAAATACCATATATTTGGTTTTTTGTGCGTTTAAAGTTAACAGATTACAGTTTAACCAACCTAGGATAGAGTTGAGCCCTATTTGAGCACATTGAAAAACTTCCTGCCAAGAGTCAGCTTTGAACGAATTGAATATATTCTGTGTGTAACGAAGCTATCGCTGCACTCATTTGTGTGTTATTTGTCGCATGTAATCTTAAATTTGCTAACAGCTGGTTAATAGGGGATTAGGGTATATTGATTTATTTCTGAAACAAAACGGTAACGTGTCTTAATGTTGATCATTGTGTTTCTTTAATATACAGGTAATTAGTATTTATTTTAAATTCGTTTATATTGTAAACGAAATTAAAGAGACCACTTACCTGTCGGATGTATATACCAAACGATGTTCGATTTTTGCCAGTAAATTTAATACTGACGTTTTAGACAGAGGACATCTTGTTATGAAATCTTGGTCATCGTAATCTTCAACGTAATTACTCCTCACCATAAATCACCTTGGGCGAGGTCCTAAATAATCTTCGTCATTACTATCAGATTCGTTAATTAACACACTCAAGCGTTGCGACGTTTTGAATAGTGACAGCAGTCGGCCGAAAGCGGCGGTATAAGAATTTACTCTAGTTTACTTTACCATTGGTAAATCGTAAGTTGATTTACGCGCGAGTAATTAACGTCTTATTCTTGGAGTAAGATTTTGGTGAAATCCACTCTTGGAGGTAGAATATTTTCTTTAAATTTAAATGGGAGGTGCCCTCTTTCCAAAAAAAAAGAATCATCAAAATCGGTTCACAAAGCGCGTAACATACATACAGAGAGAAAAAAAAATGCAATCGAACTGAAAACCTTTTCGTTTTTATAGTCGGTTCAAAATTACAGCCGCGCGGTAGCGCTGCTACAAGAGTCTAATTTGAAGATCTAAGTCTCTAATGTGGAATTTTTTTACACATAAACATTATCATCAAGTTTGATAGTTATTTTTGATACAAGTGCGGAAAGTTAGTCATTATTCACGAGGCTCGAGGCTTTTTGGCCCGAGACAGAGGCGAGGGTCAATACTCGAGACAAGTGACAATGACAAATCCGCACGTGTATCTAAAGATTAGAGGATGGAAAAAAAATATATAGTCTAAGATCAAACGACGTTTTCTAATACATTTTCGAAAAAACTACATTAAAAGTAAAATAAAACGCGTAATACTCACCTCTGTCCATTGTTAATATTCAATCAGCCATCTTTATGGAAAATATTTTGGTATTTTTAAATGTAACCCGTTGTTTTATAAAACACCTATGCAATTTAAACAAATAAGATGTTTGTAAGTAAATATAAATTTTAATGACGAATGACTTAACGTCACAAAGCACAAAAATAATAAATAAATATGTACAACCTCTTTAGTTCTATGTTTAAGACTCGCAACTCACAAAATTACGCTCGTCTAGCCTCACCCTTAACGTACTGCTACTATTTTTTATAAGTTTAACTATACAGCGCTTCGCAAGCAGAGGCCGCGGGTTCGAGTCCGGGCTAGCACCTCTTAGTTTCTCGGAATGTAGGTGCGAAATTTAATTTGAAATTTACCATGAGCTTTTCAGTGAATGAAAAAATTAACACAAAGAAGGTTCACAAACCTCGGGAAACGTGCGAAGTTCCCAAGCCGCATTGGACGAGCGCAGCGGACTATGGCCTAAACCCTGATGGATATGACGGAGACCTGTGCCCAGCAGTGAGACGTATAAATGGGTTGATGATTTCCGTTGCTCTGGTACTCATAGCATAGGGAATTCCCTAGCTTGATCAAAGAATAAAAGGGTAACGAGAATAGGTCACTCTCCGCCCCTCCCAAGCATTAGATACCACATCGCGCCCTGCATATTGTTACGACATTGACGGAACGTTACCCGGCAACGTTAGACCAACATGGTCTTTGTATTGCTGGCTTTATAAAATAATAATTTTTAGTAGTTAGAGTTGTCAGTGGGAAAAAAATCGGAAACGAGTGGATAATTTTGTTTTCAGGAACTAAGAATGCCTAGTAAATGAGTCACGATTAATCTAAATTAAATGTAAAATTACTTACCAATAAACCTAATTATGGAATTGCATTATCATGTAATCTAGTTGCATTCAAAGTTATGTCAAAATTTGACTCTTCAAAATGAAGCGAATAAATGAAGATGGTCTTTGATTCAATGTATGATTTCCAACCACTCTATTTTCTTTTATGATTTGTAGGTAAACTTAAAAATAATAATAATAAAAAAAAAAGCCTCGTAGTGAATTATTTTAATGACAGAATATCGATAATATGTACGCTTCCAAGAACAACACTATCTCAAAATAATCGTTAACAACAATCATCAAAATATACAAACAAACAGGCAATCTGAAGAAACCAAAGCAAAATTTGGCAAGATTTATGAATTACATGAGATATTTGGTCTTTTGTATGATTTATAGACAGAAAAATAACACGTGCCTCTTCGGTGTTACATTCAGTCGATCTTCGCTTTTTCAAATGCGAAAACTGCAGCGACAAATTTTTATTAATACTTAATTGTTCTCACTGTCAATATTTTTGTCTATTTTATTACAATCCATGCGAATAATTCAATAAAACACTTGGAAAACATTTGTTTCGACATTTGATGTACTTCCCTTTGACAACCATATCATGTACCTCATGTACTGCGAAATGGACACAGTCGGCATTTAAGATGACGTTACGTATTTTCGATTCCCGTGTTTGACACAGACCAATGTAATGCTATCTCTTTTGGCTTAAGATGCCACGCAATAGTTAAACAAAGATAATAAGATATTTATGTTTTCGACGTCGAAATGCATCGTATACATACAACGTCTGATTTATATATGTCAACATAACATGTCCTTTAGTTTAAGCTCGAACTACTCGACGAAGGAAATAGGAAATTAAAACAAATGAATGAAAGAAATGTCAGTCGACTAATTATTTATTTTGTAAATAGACCTAAAATAAAAAGGTAACGCAAACGATCAGCTTTTTGAAAAAAGTTTGCATTATTTTGGCGTTTTTACTAGTGTTCCGCTACAGGAGCCAACGTGTGTATTTAATTAAACATTGTTTGAGGCAAGATAATCCTGATTTAATTTGAAAGTTTTTGAAATATCTGTTTTGTCTTTACAGATGAGTATACACCGTCTCCAGAAAGGCCTCCAGATGCAATAGACAAATTGCATGAAGTTATAAGTCAATTGGCGACGGCTAAACACAACCCTATTTACAGAGCACAGGAGGAATACCAAATAAGTAAGTAGTTTATTAGCAATAAAGCTCTTTGTGAAAAGGTCTCTCCACACTTGCGCGCGACTCACGCGCGAAATCACGGCAGTTTGACTTGAGCTTTACTATAATGGACGATAATTGAAACCGATGAAATTACTAAAGAAATGTGATTCCGTTTGTTTTCCCACATCACCGAATAGAACAGCACGGCATTGTTAGAGATATTATCTTTATTACAATAAATACAGAATATTTTTGAAATATACGAAGACGTACACACAGGTTAGTTATTGACGCTGTACTATTTCAGCTTTCTAAATTGTGATTGCAGCGTAAACGAGAGTTGATATTTAAAAGTGGTATAAGGCCCATTTGCCTGATGAGTTGCCAGGGATGGATGGCCCTTAATTCGTCTCTATTTCTGGTTATATACTCGATGCCGCCGTTATATCCTTTAGCGTGCTTGTCAATACCATAGACAATTTCTGTCACTGTGCGTTGTGATACTCCAAGAACGACCTCAGAGCATTGAATTGCTCATTCTGAGATGCAATATGTTGTGGATATTCCAAAGATTCGCACGAAGCATTACGCTTCCACATTTATACGGCGAACGGCTATGGAGTAGAATTCCCTGTAGACTTGTTTCTTGAACGTTATAACTGGTCTTTTTCAAGGCGAGAGTCAATTGGCATTATGTAGGTGTGCATGCTACATCGTCCCATTCCCTCAGGTGAGATGGAAGTCCAATGCGCACTTACATTTTTATAAAAAAAAAATGCGAACACGTCTAGTGATAGTGGACCCCAATTACTTTTAAATATGGCATCGTGTTTTGGCGAATGAATGTATTAAATAAACAATGCTTTTTAATAATAACTTGTTTATATGTACAAACGTGAAGCTCACGCTTTTTAAGGCATTTTGCCAATCATTTTACACGTGCAGCTTGTGGGTCAAGTATACACAGAAAGCGTATCGCGCCCTATGCGTCCAGTACAATGACGCCCTCAGAATGCTGTTGGGGTTGCCGCGCTACTGTAGCGCTTCAGGAATGTTTGCCGAGGCGCGTGTGGACGGTTTTAGCTCCATTTTGCGGAAGCGGGTGGCATCCCTGATGCGCAGGGTGCGGGGCAGTGCCAATGGCATTCTTCGAACAGTGGCCGAGAGGAACGATGGGCCCATATTGTATAGGTGGATAAGGATACATTGTACATTCTAGATAACTCTTATTAACATAGATGGTAAGGATTTTGTTACTAACACTTTATGGATATCTTGTCTGAAATAAAGACTTTGATTTGATTATATTTTTACAGAGCCAGAAATAGTCCATTTCAGATCAGCGAACCCCGCGCTAAAATTCGAAATAAACTCCGATAGCATCGTAAGGGTAATACAAGACCTGCTCACGAGCAATGCGGTGAAACAGTACACAGACATAGCAGCTAAAAAAGCTGCGGTTGTCTATCGCACAATCAAAGAGGAGATGCGAAAGGAAGATTTGGAGTAATTTAAATAAATTGTTAAATTGATTCTGTGTATTCTTAACTTTCACATATAAACAATAAAACGTAAATTAAAATTTTAAAAACCCGGATACAAAACAGTGTACATAGTCCATAAACTTTTTTTAAAAAGGAAAGTGGGTGAAATCTAATAGGTAACGCAATGAGGATGGAAACCTGTGGTCGCAGATTGGAGCCCTGTCGGGTCGAAGGTTGTTTTCTTTGTGTTCGATCTGTCTATTTAATAATTATAACAAACTAGTGGAGTTGTTTCACAAAAAACAATTCAAATCGATAATACATATGTATGTATGTTCATAAAAAGCGATATCAACGGCAGCTTGTGGTTACTGGAAAGCTTGTGGTTACTAGCACGGCCGGTAATCTACCTATAGAAAACCGCTCGCAATAGCGGCCATCTTTTTTAATGAATAATGACATTTGTAATTTTTGTTTCCTTGCTGTGATTGGCTGCCGCAGGCGTAGGTAGCCTTTCCGCCATCTTGGGTAGTGATCGTAGTATTTTACACCTTGTTATTGTTTTGTTGTTTTCACCTTGTAGTGGCTTGTAGCTTTTTTGTACAGGTTCGGATCGAGTGAAGACGTGACGTGCTTATCCTCTCCGTTAATTCTGTATTGTGTGTTTGTATTTTGCTTCATACAAAATGTACGAGTGCTGTGTATGTAAAAGTTCACGACAGGACGCTATTTTACATCATTTTCCTCGCACTGAGAAAAGACTCATGAAGTGGTTAAAGTAACTAAATCGTGATAATCTGAAAAAGTTATCACCAGAAGAACTTTCAAACGTTTTTGTATGTCAAAAACACTTTGAAAAGAGGTTTATTACGCCGAAATTACGTCTCATAGGCAGTGCATATCCATCTTTGTTTACCGAAGACGAGATTTCCCCTGGAATACCATCACAGGACAATGCCGGTAAGTTTTAAGTACAGACTTTACTATAGCCTTCTAATCTCTACGTCCTAACAGACTTTTAATATGAGCTTAGCCCGTACTTGCTTTGTAGAAATAAAATATTAATAACTATAACCGTCATCTAAGAAACAAATTCGGAATTGCCGACGTTGGTGTATCCAGCGTTAATAACTTATAACAATTTAAGTACTTACTTAATTTTAAAACTAAAGAAATAGTATTGAGTTTTGAATTGTTTGTTTATACCTGCATGTGTTAGTGTTTATACCCGGATGTGTCCTAGTTCGAAGGAATAACTTTTAATGTTATTAATATTAATTGTTTTATTTATTTTGCACTTACAGAAAACATGGATATTGATTTGGAGCATAGTTACTTGCGTAAAAGACACTTTGACCACACATACTTTCAAAGGGAACCACTAAAAGGTTAGTAATGCAGTTTGTATTACTGTAACATTTTCTAGTAAAACTGTTGAAATGGATTTATTGCATGTAAATTTATATTCTGACATATTGGCCCCTTTACTGGTTATTATAGTATGCGATAATATAGTATACATAATGCTTGTTGCAAATAAATAATAAGTTATTATTTTCAACTATCACCTATCACACTTATTTAACTCTCACTCATAAACACACAGAATACCAAAATACCTACAGAAGAGACTTGCATAAAATTATAGTGTGTAATTTCTCACGTTTCAGAAGTAATTGCCTCTAGCTCCAGTGAGTCTCAGAATGTGCCTGGCCCATCGCAAATTCCACCGCCTAAACAGGACTTAGGTAATGGAATTTTTTTGTTGGACTCAAGTTATAAAGGATAGTTAAGGTTTTAACGGTGTGTCAACTTTTCATTTTTTACACAATTCCGAAGCAACTTGTACTTATAGACCATCAGTGAGTGTGGACAAATGGTGCTACAATCTCTTCCACAATACCTCGTTTATTGTAGATGTTAATTATGTATGTTTATTGTGATCTATTTTATAAACTACATCTATCTGTTTTATATGATGGAAACATCTTGTTTCTCAACAGTACCTAATTATTTTTCAGTTAATCCTGTAATCATTGAACCAGTGATGAATGAAGCATTTCAAGCCTCTGGTAAGTAATTTTGAGTTATTATTGTTGTATTATTACCACATGAATATGTTTGCAATGAACCTTTATTTACTCCATGCTGGATATGCAGAGGTCCTGAGTTTGTTCCCAGTTCAGACATTAATTTTCTTTGTATTATGTAACCTAGTATATTCTTCTAATAACCTTATGTATAGTCGAAAATAAATGTTTGGTTTTTCTCTTTGCAACTGCTCATTCAACAAACTTGTAACATACAACATAATATGTAAGTGTGCAGCTGCATGTTGTTATAATGTTTTACATTCCATAGTACTTGACTTCATCATTCACTTTTGTGTTTTCCAGGCTTGGATACAGTCAGAATTGCTAAGGATCCGAAACCTATGAGAAGACGTTTAATCACGAAAGTAAAAGATTTGTCACCAACATGCAAAAGTATTTATAAAGAATACAAAAAGTCTAAACAGCAGGCCAATTTTCATCGAAGAGCTAAGAGAGCCCTTCAGTTTAATAAGAAGATGTCGTTCGAAAAATTAACAAATAAAATCGTTATGCAAAAAACAACAACAACATAACAAATATTGAGTTGTTTTATTTATTTTATTTTATCGTATTATTTTATATAAATGAACTGGAACCCCTAACCACCTTTTTTTTTTTAAAGTATGGATGTATACGTTCTGCTCCTTTGCAAGACAATATCGTCTACCTATTAAAAAAAAATGGAATGTCAGTCGACATTAGTATCACAGATTAAAAATAATTCTTACTACTGAAAAAAAAGTACTACAGTGAGCAGTCTGAACGTAGTTCACTAAGTAGTCTGTGGTTACTAGTAAGTCTCTGTCGGTTTTGACGGTGTCGAAAGCCGAAAAGTCAATGTAAAAATCTATAACAGACAAATAGAAGAAATCTGTCGACTTGGTAACTCCACCTGTAACTAAGTAATTAATAGATTCAGACGTTACTTTGCGGAAGTCCATGCTAATAAAAATGGAAGCAAATTAATTAGTTACGTCGCAAACCCAGCATAAATTAAATCGTGCAAAATAGCTGCGCTTGTGTTGAATATTTTTTCATGCAGTTAATTATCCCACCCTCTCTCCGCATAAAATAAATAACACAAGCGCAACTGCAGTCACAAACCACCACCAAAAATATACCCGACATATGTTTCGCCCCTCCACGAGGCATCCTCAAGGGCTGTTGATTGCTCGACTCTCGGCCGATGAATGAGCTCGTTTTTTTTTATGAAGGATATTTTGCAGTTGACCGCTGATGGCCTTGACTGCGCCACCGGAAAAAAAGGGCGAGCTGAAGGCTCATAATCCCTAAAATAAACTTAAAACTAAGTAGCGGGCCTGAGGACGCCCAAGTGGGCACGGATCTCGGCTCAGGGCGCTCCTGAAGACTTCCGCCAGAGTGGCGTGCTGTGGGATAGAATCTACCACTGTACGTGCTGAAATGAGGGGCTCTACGACCTCACCGGCAAGGACGGTTGGTGCGTGAGGAGAGGGACTGATTAGCGATCTAGTTGGCCTTCAAAGTGGCGAGAGTGATAGGGTCGTCAGGGTTGTTGAGGACTTCCTTTGGCCGACGGGTCCTAAGTACGCGGTGGTGGTGTTCCCTGAGGGGGTCGTAGTTGGATGCAGCCACCACGAGGGGATTGGGGTGGTGAGGAGCAGAGTCGCAGTATTTCCTCGATGCCTATTTCATGAATTGTGGGGAGTCGTAAATCTATATGGAGGTTAGCGTTGCGCAGGTACCACGGGGCACCCGTCGCGTTGCGCATGAATATTTTGGAAAGCCTGCAGGCGGTGTATAGGCGCGGGATTTGCCTGAGCGAATGCGGCGCTGGCGTACGTCATGATTGGGCGGATGCAGGTCGTGTACAATCTCACCTTATTATGAAGGGAGAGTTTGCTATGCTTGTTGAGAAGGGGGTGGAGGCGGCTCATAACAAAGTTTTCACGTGTGCTTTAAATGACAGCTTCCTATCGAGCGTAACTCCCAAGTACGTGAGGCGCACTATAAGTTTCCAGAATGAATAAGAAACAAATACTATAAATGATCAGACACGAATTTATTGATTTTCAAAATATTCTCTGTAAGCGTTAATGCACTTTTTCATAAGAATCAACCAATTTTGAAAACATTTATGCCACTCCTTCGTAATAATCACTGAAACGTATTTTTCATACTCTTCGACAGCCTCTTCAGGTGATGAAAATCGTTGACTGCGTAAATGGTTCTTAATTTTTGGAAATAAATAAACGTCACAAGGTGCCAGGTCGGGACTGTACGCGGGATGGCTCATAAGGTCAACGTTGTTCACCTTCAAAAATTCATGTGTCTGTCTGGTCGTGTGAGAACTGGCATTATCGTGGTGCAAGATGATACGGCGTTTACGGTTATTTCTACGGAATTTGTCAATAACTTCCGGCAAACAAATGGTCGTGTACCAATCACTATTCACGGTACAACGATCCTCCAAAGCAACAGTAGCAACATGTCCAGTTTTATTAAAAGAAGAAACAATCATCCGCTTATAGGCACTTTGCACGCGCCCCACTTTGATTGGTTTCGGCTCATCACGAAAGACCCATACGGTCGATTGATGCTTTGTTTTGGGATCGTAATTACAAGTCCATGTTTCGTTACTATGTCCCACACCAAATTTGAAGTCCCTTTGTTGAATCTGGTAAAAATGGCATTGCACCAAATGACGCCATCCGTTTTTTGTACCTCAGTCAAATTGTGTGGGATCCACCGAGAGCACAGCTTTTTCACACCCAAATGTTTCTGTAGTATTGATTGTATTTGACTCATGCCTATGCCTAAAGATGCCCGAACTCATGGTATGTCACATGCCTGTCTGTTTTGATCATACGGCGCACAGCATCGACATTTTTGTTGTTCACAGCAATGGACAGGCCAATATCACGAAATTCGTCACTGAGATTTTCACGACCGCGTTTGAATTCTGTAAA